ACTTCCTGGCTTAATCGGTTCCTGGCCAGAGCTCCAGCCGTGCAGGGAAGTGAGTTCTCCTGAAGTGAATTACTTGAACTATTTGAGACTTAAAATAGGATAAGACTGTGGGGTCAAAGGTAGCAGAGGCTCCTTTCTAATTCACTCATTTCAATATACCTAAGCTAGGTGACCTTGAAGACCCATTACTGCCATAGAGAGGGACATGCTTTCACAATATGATCCCTATGTGCCCCACGCAGTATTTGAAACATAACATTAAATAACTTTTCTTTTAAATTTACAAGGTGACAGTTTTTAAATAGTAATTGCATGATGAGACAGATTCTAAGCTCTCAGTAATCACAAAGGGCATTTCCATAACACTGTAATCCAGAGAGTACCTGAAATACCCCAGTGTATCAACTGTTTCTTCATGAAAATGGAACAGGGCAGAAATTTAGAATTTGCCATACACAGTGGCTGCTATTTGCATTACACACATATCTGATAATACATACTATATAAACATACTGTGAATATGGTAATAAGATTCTTAATTTTCCCACTTACAATACCAGCAAAGGAAAATCTAAACAACGTAACATTCTTGCTTCTAGATGCTGGATACCTGCAAAATCATTAATATCCATTTGTCACTTAAGATTTAATGGCTCCAAAGTTGCCATTGCAATGTGTAATATGTAAGCATTAAAAAATAATTTGCAAGATGCATTAACAGTAATTGCTTTATGCCATCAAAAGAAAGCCTATATATAGTACCTTTTATAGTGCTGTGACACCGTACAAAATTTTCAATCCTTATATATACTCATTCTTTGTTCAAACCTTTCTGAAGTATAATTTTATTGAAGCAAAGAATTGTATGTCAGAGAGTAACGTTAACTTGTTCAAAACCTTCCAATGTCAATGACTTTACATCTTGTTTTGAGATCACGTGCTCTGCCCCATCCCTGTTACATCTCTGACTTCATCTCTGCTGCTCCTTGCCCCTTCCTCACCACTGGCCTCCTTGCATACTTGAACAATAAGAGCAGGGATATGCCGGAACTAGAACATCTGCATTTGCATTCCCTCTGTCTGGACTACTTTTCCCAGACATGGCTAGCTGGATAATGAACTTATTTATTCAGATGACTTTCTCAGTGAGGGCTGTGGTGGTTTCGTCTGTGCTTAAAAATGCAGTCAGACAGAGAACAATAAATACTTTATGATTTTGCTTATATGTGGAATGTAAAAAACAAAACAAATGAGCAAATAAACACAACAACAAAAACAGGCTCATCCAGACAGGAAACAAACTGTTGGTTACTTGAGCTAGGAGGGGGTTGAGGGGCAGTGAAAAAGGGGAAGGGAATTAAGAGGTACAAACTTCCAGTTATAAAATAAGTCATGGGGATGCACTGCACACAGGGAATAATGTCAATAATATTGTACTAACTTTGTGTGGTGACAGGTGGTAAGTAAACCTATTGTGAGGATCACTTCAAATGTAGAAAAATATCAAGTCACTATGACACACACCTGAAATTAACAGGATATTGCATGTCAGTTATACTCCCCCCCAAAAAAAATGCAATCCATGCACACAACTATTCTTCCCTTCTCTGATTTAGTTTTGTCCTTTGCCATTATCACCTGCTAACTACATATTATTTTTCTATTTGGCTTATTATGCATTTTCCCCACTAGAATGTAAGAATGTAAGCTGCAAAAATTTAGGAATGTTTTTTTTTTCTGTTGTTTTCCTAGTACCTAGTTCCTTATCTGTCACACAGAAGGTGCTCAGTAGTAGTTGTTAAATGAATGAGTGAGCTATGACACAAAGAAGAAGACGGTGACCAGCAACTGATGCTGAAATGTGTGTGGTGAGGTGGGTGGAAGTAGAGATGAAGGCCAAAAAGTTACCAGGATCAAAATATAGAGACTCTTCAATATTAAAATGGTTAATGTTTTTAAAGTTCTTGACCGAGTGACCATTTTGCTTTACTTGCTTAATTAATGTTTGTCTTTATGAACTTTATTTTGTATATATTAAAAAGGCATTTATACTTGCTTAAAGAATGGTCCAATTAGAATGATATTCCATAAGGGGTTAAAGAAAGCCGTTCTTGAATATTGTTACAGGACAAGGTTCTTGAACGGATTTGATTTAAACAACAAAAAAAAAATAAAGTATGTCAAACATCTGAGAATTCAGTACCAGAGGCAGATTGTAACAGAAAGGAGGTAAAATTGACTTAATTTAATTACAGGATCTGTACTCAGGTGACAGAAAATCTGCAGGTCTGCATTATAAATATATGAATGACAATCAGTTTATTGCCAGAATCATGTTAGAAAGTGACAGAATTACTAAAATGTATTATAGCTTCCTTGCTGTATCAGAGGAGCTAAAGAAAGGCTTTTCTGATCAGGCCAAAGATAAGACTAGAAAAATAATTCTCCTCTAGAAAACATTACAGCAGGGGGCACCATTGCTGAACTTGTTCTAATTGATCTAAGAACGTGCTGGAGAGACTTCTAGGAACCCTGTTGTGACAGAGGAAGGAGGTGACAGCTCAGGGAGGGAGTGGCCTGTTCAGAGTCTGTCAGGATAGTCAGAACCAGAGCCAGCACCGAAGTGATTTAGCAAGTTCCTAAGTCAAGCATCTGTATTCTATTTAATTCTTGTTAATTCTTTCTATTCAAAAAGAATGGTTTTTGAAGGCCTAGTCGGTGCCGATTGCTGTTCTAAGCACTGTGTGTGCAGCATTGACAACCCCGGCCTCTGTGCTTCCAGTGCGGGAGACAGACACACAGTGAACAGTGCACACGTGCCCCGGGGAAAACAAAGCGGGAAGAACCAGGGGCAGAAAGCAGCCGTGGCTGGGGAGGGGGGCTGCAAAGCGCAAGCTGGCGTTGCAGTGACCGTGGGAGGAAGAGAAGGGATGGGCCCTGAGGGGGGTGTTAGGAAGGCGGCCCTACACTGGCAAAGAGATGAGCGAAGGTGTTCAAGGAACAGGGAGGGCAGCGGGCGGGGCTGGCGCAGGGACGCGGATCAGGCCAGGTCTCGGCTATTTCAAATAAACGAGGCTTTTAGCTTAACAAGATCAAGCGCCACGTGAGCACATTGGGCAGAGGATCCGAACCTGGCTCTGCTCCCAGCGGCCCGTCCTGGCTGCCCGGCTGTGCGGAAGGCAGGTGTGCCGCGCAGGGTAGAAGTGGAGGCTGGGGCCAGTTACCGGCTCAGGCAGGCGGGAGGAGATGGGGCCTTGAGCAAGGTAGGGGTGCAGGTGCGCAGCCCTGGGGTCCTGAATGGATAGTGAAGGAGGAGAGGACGGGGTTCACCTGGAGGTGAGTGTAGGACAGAGGACGGAAAGGGGACTCCCAGGCCCCTGTCCTGAGCAGCTGGAAGAATGGAGTTGCCATCAACCGAAATAAGGAAGCCGGCATGAAGGGCAAGTTCAGGAAGTTCTGTTCATCTGCAGGTGTCTCTCTCTTTTCTCTCTTTTCTCTCTTTTCTCTCTTCCCTAGTCATGTATAATTTATCTTTTGAAAAACTAGCTGGTGTGATCCGCAGCGTTTCCCACAGCACAGAGTTGCTGTTTACTTTTGGTGTCATTTAACATGTTCCCCTCTCCCCATATTTCCAGAAATTGTCAGTCAGGCCTTCAAGCTGGGTGAAAGCCATGTCTGATTTTTGTCAGCTCTGCCTCGTAGGTAGTGGTGTGTGTTCCCACCAGGAGGCACAGCTCCTGAGGTTCTCAGGTGGTTAGATCAGCCCCCACCAATAGCCTTTGCTCAGATCCTACCTGTTAGAAGTCACAAAATGATCGTCATACTGTCACTGAGTCTTCACTTACAAGCTAAAGTATTTCCACAAATGGAGCATTTAGTCACAGCTCATGTAAAACAGAATAAATGACTGATTCTTTGCCCGTATTTTCCAGTAGTCAAAATGATGCATTAGTTATATAGCATTTTCCAAATTTGAGCATTTCTTTTTATTTTAATGAAGTCATGGAATTAAATATACTTCATGTATTTTATTCCTTGCAGAAAATTCTTATTGATGTTAAAATCATCCTTGTGTGGCCCTGGGGGTTTTTGAACTGCCCTCTGCCTCCAGTAGCTTATTTCTGATGGGACAGTGTGTGCCAGGGTCATCTTGCACATGTCCAGCCCTGGATTCAGTCACTGCTCCCAGTTTTCTCTCAATGAACAATGGCATTGCATGAGGACAATCTGATGCTAGGTGTCGGTCCTTGTCTGGGAGCTCTTTCAGTGGACAGACCTAGAATATATATCTACCTTTTTGAAAGGATAACATCTTGGGCTCATAGTGATGCTTCTCATCCAAATTCAGAAGTATTTGGGGTTTTAATTTGGCCTAATCGGTCTGATACCTGTTTCTCTTTTTCACATACTGAAATTATCAGGGTCTGGAGCACCAAGATAATTGCTCACCTGTGTTGTCCCACATGTGTGGAGCATTTTCGTAGCAGTGAATGCAGAGTCTAATTTTACCTGAAAGGTCGGGGTGAAAGGAGCATTTGTTGACAAGGTGAGGATGCACATTCTGACTAGAGAAAATGGCATGTGCACACACGCAGAGGCCTGCGAGAGCGAGCACAGGAGGAAGCATTTCGTCCTGAAGTTCATTTAGGAAGAAGCAAACAGTGTGCTACCAGAGGAAGGAAGGGGTACAAAGTCAGGACGTAACAGGCCTCGCATCCCATGCTGGATGTTAGAGCGTCAACCAGATACACCGGCTGTTTGTTTTCAAGAGGTATCTTGCCTTTGTTTTAATAAAAAATGCTTCTTTCCTACTTAGTCTGTGTAAGCAGAACTCAGGTGTGAGAAAAGGACAGGGGTTACTTTAAGGATCTCAGTCCTGGACTCTGTTCTATGTCAGGTCAGGGAGCACACCACTCTGAATGTAACTCAATTATTTTCTGACATTGGAAGAATCCTTTGCCCACTAATGATCCATTGTCGTGGTATTTTTCTCCCCACAGAGGACAAAGTGTGGACCATAGTGTCTCACGACTTGCAGATGCAGACGACGGTGGTGGGCTACAACCCAGAAAAATACTCGGTGACACAGCTCGTTTACAGCGCCTCCATGGACCAGATCGGTGCCATCACCAGCAGCGCCGAGTATTGTGAGCAGTATGTCTCCTATTTCTGCAAGATGTCCAGGCTGCTGAACACCCCAGGTAGGCTGAGAATGGAATGTTACTTTTAATTACTGTCTCAGCTGGTGCTTGGAATTGCCTAAACAGTCCAACAGGTGTGGCTTACTGTCTCACAGACCAGTCTTGAAAAGTGCAGGCAGCCATGGAAAAGTAAAATATCAGTTACTTTGTTCTCTGGGGGAATGAAGCTAAGAAAGTATGATTTTTAAGAAAAAAAACTCCATTGTCTTAATGCAAAGATTTTTCCGTATTACGTGCGTATATGTGTATGTGAGTGTTTCCGGTCCTTAATCATCAGTACTGCTTTGGGCAGAACTTTTATCTGAGTTTCTGGTGAACTTTCAAGTCATTCCCTTTGCGTCCTTCAGTTGTCTTTAATGGAAAGCTGAAAGCATCCCAACGGCTGTCTGCAGAAGAGTAGCATGTAGGATAGCGATAGAATTTAGAGCTCTTTGTGGTCTGTAGTCATTTAACAGGATCTGTTTGTCTCAAAAAGTTCAACCTAATTTTTTTCTCGTGATGGCTTACTTTAACAATGCTTCAGAATATGTGTGTGTGTGAAGGGTATAGAAAATAGTTTCCAAAGGATATCCTGGAAATATCTTTACTGCAAGATCCATATCCTCTGATGTTCTTGGCGGCAAGTTAAAGAGGTTGATGGAAAACTAAATCCCTGAGTCTCTTGTGTGACAGTGGAAATAAAGCCTGTGACCTGAATCAGAGAAATATAGGCCCACACTGCTTAGCCTTCCCACTCCCCGGGTATGCGACTTTGGGGGAGTTCATTGAATTTTTCAGCCTCAGTTTCCAGTGTCTTTTTCAGGCACATAGGGGTCATCATGCCTGTTTCAGGTTAATTGTGGGGATTTAATAAGGTATTAAACCAAGTGTTTATTGTAGGGCTTGGTTCACTTAAGGAACTTAATAAATAGCAAACAATATATTAATTATTTTTCCATATTAAGCAACTGTAGAAGTGGCATTATCCTCTGGCAGAGGACCAATCAGTGGGCTGTTTGATGCCCCAAATCAGTACCGCCCTGGGGCCTGTGCTAGAGGGAGTAGTAGCTCACAGATGACAGTTATAAGCAAAACATATACAATATTTTAAAAGTTTGAGTGTTTTTTTATGTGCAGCCTTGTGCTAAAATTACAAACAAGTATAACGTATGGACTCTGAGAAAGCAAAATCTGTAAAATGTGCAAATGGTTCAGACACTTAACGCCCGTGGGGTTGAAGAAAGAGGAGGGTGGCTAGGGCGCGTAAGCGGCGCCTCAGTAAAGAGGCAGAAAGATGGTCCGTGGCTGGTGAAAGACGGTAAGCAGAAGTCTAGAAGGCCGAGTCCGGACACTCCTTCAGGCCATGGTGAGAAACATCTCAGCCAAAACAGAGGTCAGGTTGAAGAGTGGTGAAAAATAAGGTTAGGCAGGAAAATGGGAGAAACTGCGGTGGAAACTAAATGCTGAGCTGCAGAGCCAGGCCCTTCCCTGCAGGGCAGTGCTTCTCCGACACCAGTGGGGAACTGGAGAGGCTGATAAGACACAAACTCAGGTTCTGATCAAGTGGGACTGAGTGGAGCTCACGCATTTGCGTCTGTGATGAGAACTCGGGGCCAGATGGTGTCTCTCCAAAACCCCTATGTTGAAATCCTCAAGTGTGGCTGTAAGAGGGGGCTTCTAGGAGGGAATTAGGTGGAAGGTGGACCTAAGGCTGGGTTCCCAACCTGCCTGCCTTGTGGCTTGTAAAAAGAGGAAGACAGCTCTTCTCTGTGCCCCGCATGAGGCCCTGCCAGATGGCAGGCATCTGCTAGCCGGGCGGAGAGCGCCCTCCACAGACCCAGTCGGCGCCGCTGCATCCGTTTTACAGTCCTCCATTCTTCCACTGAACGCCAAAGTCAACTTTCTCTTTTTGAATTTTGCTCTGGTGGTTAAAAAACACAGTGTAACTCTTAAATAAGCCCAACTTGTAGTCAGGGCACCAGGGTTGGAGCTAAGAAAACCGGTTTGCCTTTAGTGCCCATTCATTCCTTTCTCTCCCCTCCCTGGTACCTTCTGCCCCACCTTCCCCCAGCCACCAAGAAGCCTTGCACATCACCCTCCGTTTGAAAATACAGGGTGACAAAAACATCAGGGAAAATAGGATCAATTTGTATTTAAGCAATACTTCAATTACATTTTCTAATAATAACCTGAACACACTTGTCTGCAACCTCTGGACACCTTTCCAGGGGAAGTACTACTCAATTGAAATCGAGAGTTAATTGTTCATCTGCACAATAAACACACTGTTTGTGCTTCCAGACATTCACACATTGTATTTCCAGTCATTTATAGTTGATTAATTATTGTGCTGTGAAAATAAATTTATCATATACTTCTTGCCTTTTATGTATCATATTTCACATAGCTTCAGTGCTACATAAATGTTTTCTGATCAGGAAGAAATGAAAATATATAGCTTCAAATATTATCTCATCAACTTGCAGGTAGTCGTTTTGAAACAAGGGTGTGCATCAGAAGTTTTAGGCTTGTCAAAGTGCTGATGGCGTAGCTCTATTCCCAGAACTCTCGGATTTGTTAGAACTTGGTTGGAGCTCAGGAAAGTTTGCTTTTAAAAAACATACATTGGGAAATACCATCTTTAATTTATGGTGTGAAGGTCTCTCAGTTGGACACTAGACGTCAGTCCTCCAGGTGGGAGAGGATTCAAAGGTTCTTGGACCTTCCCTGGCCAACTGAAAAACAGTGGCATACAGAATAAGCACCTGCTCCCTCAGCTAAACTAGATAGGCATCGCAGTGTTTTTCTCCCCTTTCATAGACCGCTCTGTAAATATTGTAGAGTGCATTTCAGCCTCCCCTCAGAGTCACTTTTCACACTACCAGTTTCTATTTTCCCAGCCAACTAATCTGTGGAACAGCTAAAGCAAGAGGGAGGAAGAAATGATATAGCAAGTTTTCCTATATGATTGTATTCTGTGTATGTCCAAATAAGAAAGAATGCCATTTAATAAAAATCTTTAATTTGCTGTTTTAAGGAGCTAATGTTTGCTGTAATTGTTTTTTACCTCCTCCTTCCTGGTAACATCCAGTTTTAAATATCCATTTACTTGTTCTTAACTAAGACTGAATTATATTGGAACTTCTGTAGTAGTACTTGTGACATCTGTTTGAATACAGAGTATATTCATTATAGTCATGGCAATTAAAATGAATATCAAATGAGTTTGTAATAGCTATACACTTGAATTGTTATTCTTTATTTTAATAGCCTTACCCTCTAGAGTTCATTTGGGGCACTATAGTTTCTAGTGGTACTTAGAATAAAGGGTTGATTTTGTATGCACATGGACCTCATTTTTATTTTGATAAATGTTTGGTTGTACCATACCATTAGCTAACAAATGTAGAATTATTCATTATTGGTTTCTCACAACTTTTATAAGAATACTAATATATGGCTTGTGATGTTATCTCTTCTTTCTATTACTACAAAATTTTTAAATGAAATCGATTTTCATTCAATGATTTTGCCATCCTTTATTGTCATATCTCTTCTTGCAGTGTAACATTAATTCAGTTGTCATAATCAACTTTATAAAAGACACAGAGACAAGACAAAGTTATTTTCTTTCATAGAAGCGTGTGACTGGAGTGAGGCATACCAATTTGAGACTGAACAGATTAATTCTGGCCAAACCATTAATGCTGCCCAAACCAAAAGGGCATTAACATGTTTTATATTTATATCCCCAGAACTACAAATGTAATAATATCTGAACTTACGAAAAGCAAAAATCATTAAATAATGAAATCTACTTTTGAAATAAATACCTTAATTTGAATTTGATAAATAAGACACCAGGAGAAAGTTTCATTAGTCTTAATCAGCAATTCTAATGCTTTTAGATGATCAAAGTATTTCTGTTTGGAAAAGACCTGTTAGCCTGCTTTTAAAATGCTTATTTATGTGTCTCAGATGCACTGTCATCATGTATTTGTTTTACACACTATTACAAGTTCTAATTAAGATTTTCTGCTGAAGAATTTTTTCTCTACACATGTAAAGATTTAATTGTAGAGGTATAAAGTTGATATGTTTCCTATTTTTCTGACTATATTTAGTGTTGCTTTCATTGGGTTCCAGTGTTTCATTTCTTTTAATTTCTCAATGTAGTCTTGTTCTCATAAGTCATAGTTTTATTGCTTCTGTTTTTGAAAGAAACAATATAAATTATCCATCCTTTTGGGTAGTTTACTGTTAGATTTCATATCTATTGAAAAGGAGTTATGTTCACAATTTTTGCTTGTAAAGGAAGTTGTGTAAAATCCAATATACTTTGAAGATACTCTACTGTGATTTAGTGGCATCCGAAAGACAAGAAAACATGGCTCTGGCATTGTAACATAACCTATTTTTAGAAAAACATTTCTAAACTTTGGTGAAGTTACCAAGAAAGTGATTTTCTGAAGTCTGTGTTATGCATTATAAGAAACCATGGTGTTTAACTCTTGAAACAACAGAGATAAAAACCTTGCTCTATTGCAACTAAAGATTAGCATTTTCAGTAAATGAGATTTGTTGTGACTAGTCAGTATATCCAAAAATGAATCATTTATCTAGTTATTGTGTTAAATGTACTAAAATTGGAGGATACAATTAAACGGGATGAACAAGGAAGATTGATATAACTGAAACGTAAAATTAGAAAATTAAATCTAGCCATATTCCATACCCTGGCAACTAGAATCTTCATAGAGGTCACTAGTTAAAAGGGACACAATGGTCATAGAATAGTTAGAGGCTATTTCATCAATATGGATTGGAGCCGATGGAAGTTCTCAACCAGAATAATGAATGAAATAATCAATCCACAGATGTTTATTATTTCTTGTGCATCAAATATTGTGATATATAAGCTGAGATGTGAAGGAATCATATAAGTTAACTAAGTAAAAACAGCAGGGGAAGGTTCTAGACTAGAGATATCAGAATATGCAATGGTTCTGAAATGGAGGTCA